AATTCGCTCTCAGTCTTTTAAAATGCAAAACTAAATATTATAAGATTTGACTTTGGGAAAGCGCGATAAAACAATCGAATCATTCGTAATTCATATCATTAGCATAATATACTATGAATTTTCTACGTTATATATTGAATCGAAATTGCGCGAAAGAGGAAAAAAAGAACAAGCCTATGAATAGACATTTCCATCCTTTATTAAAAGAAAAAGAAATTAAAAATATATCTCAATTTTTTTTCTATTTCTTCGGGCAAGTCTACATATATGACCAATATGATTAATTGATTCCATCTTTATATATTTATCATTATGTGCTATTAATTAAAGCCGTAGACAATATTCAGAAATCAAAGTTGCGCGCAGGAATGGCCATACGCAGAAACGAATGCGCACTGGTTCGGCCGCCATGTTGGCGCGTGCTGCTACGTCACTGCTACGTCAAACGCGTCATACGGCCGCCATGTTGGCGCGTGAATCGGAGTCATACGCAGTTACACGGATCGTCGTACGTCCGCATTTTTCGCATCTTTTAACCGTTTTTAAATGAATATCGTGAGTGAACGAGCGTCGAGAGTGTCGAAGGATGATCGCGCGACTTTTATAGTGTGTCGATGGAAACGCGCGACAGCGATTTTTGACGATATTCAGTGATGGCGTCATTGCGAAGATGGAGCGAAGTTGCGTCGCGTTATTCGCGCCCTTGATGATGATTATCGGATGCGAGCGAATATCGGGAGTGCCGAATAAAGTGTCGCGCGTTCGCGTTGATGATATCGTGTGAGTTTGTGTGCATCAAGATCGGAATGGGACGTCCCGAGGCGAGCGAGTGGAGCGGCCTGTGGAACAGCCGATAAACGGTGAGTAGATGTGATTTATCATATTTGCGTGCACAGTTCGTGCTCATTCGACGCTTATACAGCATCGCGATGTCCCGAATTACGTTCGAACAAATCGGCGCCGCATCATAATTCGATGCGATGCCGTGTAATTCAAATAAAGTCGATCGCGTGAAGATGGTTAGCTAGAAGCGATTTCAAATTTATTTTATATACGCGCAGTGCTGCACAGCCTATCTCGTAGGGCTGCCAACTGTTAAACGATAAATTTTTTCGATCTAACCTAACCTAACCTAACCTCTCAGTGCTTTGGATGTCGAATATAAACACAAGCGTATGCTGCCTGGATTTTATCATGCTTTCAAAAATAATATTTAATTATTTCATTAGTGTGTTACATTTTATTACGTAGTATATTAATCGTATTAAATGTGCGACGTACAGTTTTACACATTTTAATGAGAAGCATATAATATAATTGGTTAGGTTAGATTAAATTAAAACAAGCTGCTGTGATTCATTTAACGTAATAGGATTAATTTGACGAATCTGCAGCTACTGAAGTTACATGATATTTGTGGACACATTTTTAAAGTAATCATGAGTGTCTTATTTCATCTTGATTATATGAAATTAAAATATAAAATATTTATGTATTCCACATTAACGTTATGCATTACAAGTACTATACAAGAAAAGTATATTACTTTTCTTATATCTCAATCATATTCAACCATTTATTTCATCGATGAAGCTTTTCATATATCGCAGACAATATGATACTGTGTGTGGAACTTTACACAGGTAATACATGGCACAAAAATAAATCAAATTAAATTATTTTCAGTAGGATCCAAAAATCACTACATTGCCAGGATTGTATCTTATTATAACTGCGATATTATCACCTTTTAATATGTGTGCGCAGTATTACATACATAAAATATATAAATTTATTTGAAACGTACGGAAATCTTTATCTTATTTATAATATTTATGATATAAAAGAAAATTGCAACTCTAATGAAACAGAGCGGTGGAATAATTGATTGATACTTATCCTGGTCTACAATATTTATCCTTTTTTCATCATTAGATTTTTGGTGCTTTTTTTATTATACAGATGTTATCTGTAAATATAGTACTTGTAATGTTGCTTCTGTATCACTGTAAGCACACAAAAATGATAGCATTTGCAGGTAATTATGTTATATATCGTTACTTATATATCGTAAGAAAGAGAAAATAAAATTAAAGTTGAATACTGAATGTGCTCTAAAGTAAATCTCATCTAAATAAATAAATGCATAAATGTGCGCCCCACATTCCTCATGAAAAAAATACATAATATTAATTTTTATGTATTATTATTTTTAGATTTTTATTCTTTTAAATTCTCTAGATGCACCTTTCATTTCTCCTCTCTTTCTTTCCAACTACTAAATATAGATCTATCATTTTTAATATAAATCTGTCATTTTTAGTGTACATTATTGCAGTAAGTGGAATAAAGAGCAAATCTTTTGGTGCATTTAAAATGTACAGGAAAGTTTTATCTGATGCGTTTTTTTCAATAGAAATATCTGAAACAAAATGCATACGTCTTTTTTAATCTTAGTCTTTCTAAATAAAAATTAGAATAATAAATTTGCAAAATAATTTGCTTTAATATATTTTTATTGCAAACATATGAAGCAAAGTGCTCAAGATGCATCACTATGAAAACATCGATAGAATAAAATATAGATCGCATACAAAAAAATTAAAATATTTACATTACATATTTGATATTTCTGCAAATATTTCCATTATTTTGAGATTGATTTGTTTCATGATATATTGCAATAATTAAAGTATGATTTCTGATATAATCTGCCATGAGACTGCAGAGAAAGCCAGCTTTAATTCTTTATTTTGTTCAATATTTTTAATAATATAATAATTAAATTAAAGTTCTATGAAAATATGCTTGAAATACTAAATAAAAAAGATTGTTTCTTATGTACAACCTTATATAGTTTAAGTAAACAAAAAATTATTGTTAATAATATACATATATAAATTGATAATTAAATAAAACAATTAATTAATTAATCGACACAATCCACGTTTTTTTTTTTAGCTTTATGTCTAACATATATATATATATATATATATATATATATATATATATGTATATATATTTTTATAAATAAAAAATGTTTCTTTCTAATATAAATTAAATAAAAAGTATAATATGCCTTTAAATACTTTATATACATACCTGTTGCAATAAACCAATAAAGAATGCTTTTACATTCCTCCTTATACTTTGGCATACATATCCTTTATGCCAATTATCTCGCAACACGCTTTTATCGCATGATGACAAACAAGCACATTATTCTTCATGAATTTTCTTTATAAATATTTTTATATTCTCAAACTGTGTAAAGAAATCATGTAACACTGAAAAATACAAAGTGATATTAAAAGAGAAGAAATAAATTTTATATTATATAGTATTGACAATTATTTTCTTACTAGTGTATTCCTTATATGTAGGAATATATATTAGTCTTTGACCAGCCCTATTTTTAACCGTGTTTAGGGATGCTTTGGCTTTTGATAACGCAAATCCAGCTAATCCATTTCCATTTCCAGTTACTATAAATGAACTGATTCTAGTCTTACGTGCTAATTTACCGGTCATACAAGTTATCATTTTGTTTTCCAAAATCCAGGTTTCAAAACTTTCAAATGTATCTGCAGAAAACAAAGATATTAATTATATAAGATTCTAATATTTAGAACTGAAACATCAAAAAAAAAAATTGAAAATAGACATCGTATCACATGATTTTTGTATGTGTGTGATTTAACTATTATAATCCAATAATAGCATAAATATTAACCTTTTCCAATAAGATCTGATTCAATGCTTCTGTCATCCATTGTAACACTCGTCCAACCACATTCCAATGGCGATAATTTTATTTGCATTGGTCTGGTCTGACTTTGTGGTAATTCCATAAGTTTTTGTTTTCTTTCAAGATTTACAAGCAGTTTTTGCTGTTGAATTAATTCTTTTCCTCTAAACACAGGAGTGTTTAGACCAGGAAATTGTATCGGAATTTTTCCCATGCCAATAATTTGCTCCTTATTTAGGAGCTTTCTCTTTTCACTACTCTTCTTGCTCTATCTCTGCGTCTTCCTGATACTTGTCACACCCTTTCATAATTCATCTTCAGATCCTATAGAACAAAAGCACAGTGAAATACAAATTATTTTCTACTGTAAATATAAACTATTATCAAAATGCTATATCCATAAAAGTTCTACTTACTATTCGCAAAAAATATAGAGTTTCTCACATTATTTAATAAAGTGACTATTTTTAATAAATGTGGCAATAAATTAAGCAATATTAAACAATAATATACCTGAAAAAATTTCATAATTTTATTGGAGTTAAATTGATAAATTAATTTTAAATACACATTATATGTTAATTACATATAATGATTTAGAGACAATGATATATTTCATTTGCGTTACCATTGTTTATAGATTGAACATTTTTTATCAAATTATTTACAACTCTAAATATGTAGCATACGACAAGCCATTTTTAAAATCTATAAAATAAACAACAAAGTTGTTCATAGTTTTCACTCTTTTTTGTCATAGTCTGCTTTTAGGCGATCTTAAAGTCACTAGATTAACAAAGTATCCGGCTTTAGGTTATTTCTGAAAGGACGATGCGTCCTCTATAAACATAAAATTATGAACTTAAGGTGTTTTTGTTATGCTAATTATTTGAATTTATTCGATTATTTTATTTTCAAAGTCAAATTCTATAATATTTAGTTTTGCATTTTAGAAGACTGACTTATAGCGAGCTAAATAAATAAATAAATAAAAAATAAATAAATGATGTTGAGAAGAAAAAGAACACACGTAAATAAATAAATAAATAATAGCGTGGAAAGAGAGAACATACTATTATTTTTATATAATAAATTATTTTATATAATAAATTATTTTTATATAATTATTATTAATTAAATTATTTATATTTTTATTTAATTATTTATGTTATTTACATTATCAAGAGAAGACATATATGTTACCCTCTGAGAACATTGGCCTTGTAGTTCACAAAGCTTGTGTCTACGTTTTTAATGTAGAAGGAGTATCGCTTTTAGAGATCATTTAAAAACGGTGGCTATATCATCTCTCACCTCTCCGTCTTCTCTCTGCTCGTTCTCTCCTTCCTCTACGCTATTCAAATTCAGCAATTTATTTTGACAGTGTTTGACAGTACGATTAGATTAAAATAATTGATCAAATGGATAACAACAATGAGGTATATTTATTTCTGACAGAATTTACTTAATATAAAAACTAAAATAATGCTATAAATTTTATTATTAAAATTATACTAATATATTAGTAATATATAAATGATCAATAAATAGATATAATAGCAAAAGAATGCATTAATTATATATTAATTAAATATAGGCAACATCACTTTCATACAATGACTCTATTTCTGCTGCAACTGGGATCATGAATTGTCATAGTGAAAATATGTCTGCTGAAGAGAGTTTGTTGCTTCGACACTTGCAGAGGGGCATTTCAGAGACAACAGAGGAGAATATTACATTTACAAAAGAGATTACCAATTTATTATTCAAATTACATCTTGAAATTAAGATTTTACCCAATGATATAAAAGAAGGCTTGGAGAAATTGTCTTTGATCTTAAATGCAGAAAAGTTGTTTGAATTTGATGAAACAGTGCTACGTGTAATTAGAGAACGTAAGATTATAGAAGAGAAAAGGCGACAACAAGAGGAGAAGCGGATGTCAGTGATACATGACAAATTACTTAGAAATTGCATGAAATTACAGACAAAACTCAATCATCTACAAGATGCAGTAGATTCGCTCCAGAATACTATTGACACTACAGAGAATGAGAAGCATAATTTATATTGTAACAAGATTTTCTTATCTACAAAAATGAAAGAATATCAACAAGCTGTGGAGAAATTAGAGACAGATTTAAGTGATATGCAAGTTGATGAACTGTATCCCGAGAAAATATTAAATAAATATAAATTATATTTAGAAGGTACAAGCAAATTGGCAGATGTTAATCAATCACTCGCTCAATATGGTGATTTGCCACCTAATTTATTGCAGGCTAAATTATTACTAGAAAATAAAAGGAAAGAGTATGAAAATTTGGATCGACTGTTTTTAGAAAAAACTCAGTGATTTTGGTTTTTAATCTTAAACTTATTTGTACATTTCACTATCTACAATACTTTTCTTTTCATAAATGATCAAATTGTAATTATTAATATAAGACACTATACATAAAAATATAAAAATTTTTACAGAAAATCCTTTTCTTGTTCTTAGAAACCATATTTCGATTTTGCTTGTTTTCGCGCCATTCTATTTTGAGACCATTGATTTTTCAGTTCTAATTCCATAGCTTTTGCTTGATGCGCCAAATAAGTTATTTGATGTTTCTTCTTGGATTGCGAGTTAATTCCACAGCTTTGCATAGATACTGGTCTCTGCACAGGCTCCTCCGTCAATGCTTTCACCATCCATTCTCTTTGATCTGGTTTTATATCTTCACCGTTTATTTCGATTATATCTGCTTCCTTAAGCTCTTTGCGTTTTATACCTCGTTTTCCACAAAGATATTCAATTGCTTTTTCGTCAAAGACTACATTACCTTGTGTATCAACATTATATTCTTGCTCAGGCACTGGTAGTTTTGGACCAACTTCTGCTTTATTTTTCAATAATATTTCTTCCTTAGGTAAATTTATAACATTACTTATTAATGTTTTGCTTGAGTTATTTGATTGATCATTTGTTGAAATATCAGAATTAACGGAGGAAGGATTATGTGTTGTATGATCTAAATGTTTTACAAGCGAAGCTTCCTTAGTACTTGATTTATATATGAGGTCATCCAAAGGCAACTCTAGTAATGTTGATACCGAATCATCTGATATAGTTTTATTTGTATCTAATCCAAAGAAATCTATTGATGCATCTTCTTCATCATCAAAATTTGATTCATCACACGATTCATTTGAAGTTTGTCCTTTCACTTTAGAATCATTCTGACTTGCATCAGATTTTCTCGTTATGTTTGGCTTCTGGATATTTGTTCGTGTTGCTGCATTCTTAACAATTTGAGGTATTAAAGATTTCCTTGCAAGCTCCTGTTTTGGTAATCCTAAGATTGCAAAGAGTCCACAACCTTTCTAAAATAATGAATAATTCATGAATTTTGATCTTATTTTATTTGAAATTTTAAGCAAAGAAATTTTTTAAAACCTACTTGTGATGGCTGTATAATCCTAGCAGGTTTCTCCTCCCTCTCATCCTCAAGATCCTTAAACTAATACATCAAATAATATAGATGTAATTGAATAAAGTAATTTATATTTTCTATATTTTATATGTGCTTTACCTCTGATAAAGAAGGAATCGATATCTTCACAGTTTGCTTTTTTGTTGGCTTTATGAATTGATTTTCCATCTTATTTTTCAACAAGATATCATCATCGTTCTCTTCGACATCCTTTGCAGAATTTACATGTCTGGGCTTTGGTAGCGTGTTGAGTAAATCTTTCACATTATGTTCTGCATCGTTGCTTTTTTCTTCCTCATCCTTAAACTAATACAGTTTATTAGTTAATGTAGGTGGAATATTTATAAGTAATTTATACATTTTCTGTTCTGTGCAAATACCTCCTCCTCATTTTCGGAACCCTCGTCACTACTGTCATATGCTACAAGGCTCATCTTGAATTAGAAAAATAATTTACACTTGCTTATGTACACTCATGCACTAACGATGAAATACTCGAGAAGATTAGAGGAAATGTGTTTTTTTTTAAATATATATTTAATCTTTAAGGAAAATATCAATTTATCTCAAAACCAATAGTTATAATATAATAGTTATTATATATGGACACAATGCGTCTTGCTCGAAGATACCTAATGACGAAAATGTTAGAGAGGTTAGAAAGCAACGCACGATCATATGTAAGGGATAAGAGAGACAAGTCTCTTCAAATTCTCCGACAGAGGTCTTCCAATCACTTCCATATGTATATGAATGATCCCATTCATTAAACAATTCACTAACAGTCACTTATATGAATGAATGTATGAATGATACATATTTATATGAATGAATGTATGAATGATTTTTCAATACTGTCGATATTGATGATCCACGTGCAAATTTAAATGCATTTTACGTACAAAAGCATTGTATACACAAAAAACTACCATGCAAACCGTACAATATGATAATAAAATTGAAATAAAATGACATATTAAAATTTTTTATTATAATATATGACTAGTGATTTTTTAATATAATTTTTTTAATATAATTTTTAATATAATATATAATAATTTTAATGTAATATATGATAATAATTAATAATTAATTATCTTTCATTAATAATATGTAATCGATAGATCTCGAAATATTTATTTCGTATATATGTATATATATACTGTAGTATGGAATATATTTTAACAATAAAATAATATCATGGTTTTCGATCATGAATGTTGTCGTACGAATAATAACAAAAGTCGAAACATAACATTAGCCTGACGTCATATGCTACCGTCAAGGTATGTGACGTCACGCTAATGTTATGTTTCGACTCTTATGGCTCTTCTGTTATCATTCGTACGACACACTCAAAGAATAAAGTAGTAGTGCGAAATATTCCGTTAAATTCCTTTTCTAAAATCAAACGCGGAAAATTATTATTTATAATAATATGATTAATTAACTTTTAACTTATAACATATATCTAATACTTATATATATCGCGACGAAAATTCTCGAACTATATAATTCGCGTAATTCATTTAATCGTACAGAATCGTAACAGAAATGCAAAATAATAAATTATCGTTCCGATATAAAATTGAAATATAATTCGCCCGCGACTCTTTATTGTTCTATTTTTCGAACATTTAAATATATAATTTGGATTCAGAACGCACAGTAAAACAATCAATCGAAATAATTAACACAATGAAAGGTTCCGTGATATATTAATCTTTCAATAAATAATTATATAATTAATTTAATGCAATTTAATATCAAATTTATAATCTATAATATATAATATATAATAATAACATATAAAATCATTATATAAAATCTTTTTTATACTTTAATATTTCGCGCATATATTTGTTAAAGTACGTAAAATATTTCGATGAGACGAACCGACAATAATACAGTGTTCGGCCTTGACAACGTAAACAATAGCGCGCTAGTGTTTATGCCCTACGGGCTTTTGGCATTTGGCACGCGAGCTACACGCAACCGCGAGTGGAGGGGGTAACGATCGTATGAACGATTCATGTTCCGTTACCCTCTCCATTCAAGGTTGCGTGTCGCTCGCGTGGGAATTCTGGCATCAGTGGGGCTTGATATCAGTCGTGCTTCGCACGATAACATTGGAGCAATACAATAGTGGTACGAAATACGTCGTATATTTTCAAATTAATTACTAATTAAACGATTATTATATAAAGACTTTTAATTATATTAAACATTCGAGCTATAATTCATCTTAATATACATGTACTACATATATATATATCAACAATAAAAACAACATTTGTAAGGAATTAGTATTTAATTTGAATAAACGTCATATAAATCGTGGTTTTCTATCCTTTACACGATAAATGCGTTTCTCGTGTAATTATTCCGCAAGTGCCGTGTAAAGTGTCTCGCGATCGTTCCATGTATAACGAATCATTATTAATCGTATTTTCGGGAGTGAATATGAGTGCCCCGAAGAAACAGCAAAGGACGAACAAGAGAAGAAAGGGAGGTTGAAAAAAAGCAACAACATAAATAAACAACGAAATATGCGGTAAGTCATCATTTATAAATTATTTATCATTTATATTACTGTCTGACATATTGCTTGTTCCTTTTTTCATTTTTGTGAAAGTAATTTATATAATATAAATTATCTTAATATCGCTAGTCAATTAATCAACGGATCGTTGAAAATAATAATCGATCAAACTAGCCAGAAATTTTATGTTTATTGTTTACGACGTTTCGATTATATGGTTGTGATTCTTTTCAAGTAAATACTGAAATATAACAATTAAATAATTAGATCTTTTAAATTTTGAACAATGAGTACACACACGCATTAAATGTGAACAATCAGAATACATACGGATGGCAGATATAAATCATAATGTTGTAAAATGCACAAGTCACGTTTATTATATCTTAATAAATTTAAAATCGAGAGGTAAAAACAATGTGTCAGTGTGAGACTTCGTCAACGAAGTGTCAACTGAGTGTCAAATCAAAAATAACAAACACTTTATTATTTTGTCGTAGATGTTGTTTAAACTATCTGTGTCTTTCTGTAGGTTTATTAAATTATTGAATTTTTTAATATAAAACATTTGAGCAATTTCTCTCTTTCGTACATATTTTTCATTGTGTAAAATATTAGATTTCGACCAGTCAAATTCATATCCAGATTCCAATCTATGCTTACTTATGACGGAATGATTCGTTTCATGTAATTTAATATTACTAAAATCTTCTTTAATTCTAGTACGTAGATATCTTTTTATTGGACCAATATATGACAAATTATAATTTTCTAGACATGAATTTGACGAAACCTAATATTTTACACAATGAAAAATATGTACGAAAGAGAGAAATTGCTGAAATGTTTTATATTAAAAAATTCAATAATTTAATCAACTTATAGAAAGACACAGATAGTTTAAACAACATTTACGACAAAATAATAAAGGTCGTGTAGTTTGTTATTTTTGATTTGATACTCAGTTCGTTGACGAAGTCTCACACCGACACATTGTTTTTATCTCTCAATTTTAAATTTATTAAGATATAATGATCGTGCAAACGTAACTTGTGCATTTTACAACATTATGATTTATATCTGCCATTTGATCCATATGTATTCTAATTGTTCACATTTAATGCGTGTGTGTACTCGTTGTTGAAACCGTTAAAAGATCTAATTGTTTAATTGTTATATTCCAGTATTTATTTGAAAAGGACTACAACCATATAGTCGAAACGTCGTAAATAATAAACATAAAATTTTTGGCAAGTTTGGTCGATTATTATTTCCAACGATCCTTTAAAGTAATTTATTTTAAATTATCATCTAATATATAATGCATGTATAAAACATATTTTAGTTTTTATTTTAAAATATCCCAATTAATAAAATATTTTTTGTATTAATTAATATTTTTATATAGATAATTCTGTAGATAATTTTTTAATAGATTGAATTTATTAAAAGTTTATATTCAAGACAATTCTTGATAATTACAATTTACAATATTAAATATCTTTAGAAGGTAAAATAATTAATTGAGCGTAATAATTAATTTTACAATCAATTAATTTGGATAGTTTTAAACAAAATAAATCTATCAAAATATTAAAATTGAATGTATTTGCACTTCATTTGTGTTTATTCTTTGTGTTTATTAGTAATGTATTAGGATTAAAACAATTAATGTCATAAATGTTTACATATACATATATATTATTTTAATTTTCAGTTATAAAGTGTTGTTGTAATGTACATTATATTAATTCATTGATAATTTCTTCATTTAGAAAAAAATATATTTAAAACATTTTAACTATATCTTTTAAAAAATTATTTGCAGATTTTATTTATTGTTCTATATAAATAATTCGCAAGTAATGTTAAAATTTAAATGTTAAATGATATTTAAATGTTACATTTAAATAAGCATTGTATCTTAAATTTTAACATTATTTGCGAATTATTTATATAGAATAATAAATAAAATCTGCAAATAATTTTTTAAATATAACATTTAAATGATACATTGTGTTACTTTATTAATCAATTTTCATTGATTCAGTTTAAGATAGTATGTTTTATGTATAATTAGACATCTTTCTTATCCAAATTGCTTTTATCTTTCGGTCGACATGTAGAAACGAAAATAAATAATAAGAAAAAGAGTTAGGCAGTTTGTATTAATATGAACGGTATTGCAAATCTAAGAATAGCAGCAATTGTGGAAATAATTATTATATATAATATACAATGTAAAAAATATACAATATAATATTATACATAATATAATTATTACGTAATTTTCTCATTGTTATTTATTATTATAACATCTCATCTGTGAATTAGATTCCAATTTTCTTTTATTAAAACATTGATCATCGTGTAATCTTTTATTCAATAATATATAAGTAGACATTACGATGAGAAAAAGATTATTATTTCAACTACGTGCATTTATTGCGTACATGACATAAAAACCGAAAGCGCAATAATGATTCAGATTACATTATTGAATGATATAATAAATTCCATACATAAATTATATAAAATTATATATAATATAAATTTCTCTCTCTCTCTCTCTCTCTTTCATAAATTATATTATAAATTTATATAATACAACCCTCCCATGGGGTACACCTTGTCGCGGTGGGAGGGCTTAGTACTTGGATGGTACCTTGAGATTTATCTTAAATTTTTCTATTTATGATAAATCTTAAGGTGCCTGAATGGGAAGCTAAGTACCCTTTCGCGTCATCGGTGCTGTCAACGTGCCGCGGACGGCAAGCGTTTCGACGGTTATCGCGTTTTCGCGTTGTAGTATTCTCGCGTCGTCGCGTTTTCGCGGAATTTTTGGACTTTTCCATATAAAATCCCAATTTCATTTATTGTCACGAGTCTCTACTTCCGATGCCAGTTAACTGGGATGTTCGAGTTTGCACACGTTGCTCTGCAACGTACACTCTTGCTTCGTGCTTCGTTAAGTGATTCGGCTCAAATTAGTTAGAATTCGATCACTTCATTTTCCTCTATTTCCGTCAATCGTTTCGTCTTCTTTCCGGTTTGAGCTTAGTCCTTGCTCGTTGTATCGTTGCATTCCCGACTTATTGACTCGAAGTGGATTCTCTTAAGTGAAATG